CCTTGTAGAATTAAGAACTTAAAACTTGTATACTATTAAAATATGGATTATTAGCTAAGATTTTATGCTATTCTAATTGACATAACATAAACAAAAAGTTGTTTAATAAAATATGGATTGTAAGATACTAACACTTTGTGTGTCATGCACAGTAAAGTGCACCTAGGTCGATAGGGTTAATGTCAGCTCCATCATTGCCAGCAGTTCTGGTGACTATCAGATGGTTCCTATTCTGGTGGGGATGTGTTTGTTCATCCATGGAATGAGTTCACTCCCAATACGTGGGTGATCTAGGTTTTGTCAGATGAGCCTTTTACCCATTTCTTTTCGCCTCCCTTGTCTCCAGTATCAGTATCCTTCTTGTTACCTCGGGATCATGTTACTAGTCAGCATCCAGTCGAGGCCTTGCAGACTTTTATTTAATAGTGAGCTATCAAGGCAGTCAGCTAGCCTTCCACAGACTTTTACTCCCAGCTTTTTGTTGTCCCAAAAAAAACCCGAGACTGGCATCATGTGATCAATCTGTCCACCTCAACCAGTTTCTGGATCTTCCCTGCTTTACCATGAGTTCCTTTCTCGGGCTTTTTCTCCAGGTTTGTAGATGACCAAGGAAGATGTCTCAAATACTTGTCTTCATATTCTTATTTCTCATCAATCTCAAGGCTGTCAAGTTTGTTTCAATTTGTCTACTACAGGGTTTTGTATCTGATTTCACACCTTGCCTTTTGGGCTTGCTTCAGTACCATATATATTTTCTTGGGTGTTCAAATCCTTTACCTGACTTCTTCATGCTCGAGGGTTGTGCTTCCATCATTACATGGATGACTGGCACCTGTCAGCCCATTCTGAAATGAAGTCTTCTTAACACACTCATCTGCTATTGCCAGATGCATCTCGTGGGAATTGGATTATCAAGTTGGAGAAGTCTTTTCTGATGTGTATCCAATATCTTGACCACTTGGGTGTGTTTTTCAACACTTCCCCTGGTTGTTCCCAACCTTCTCCAATTTGTCTCCATTTGGTGGAGCTTTCAGTTCTTGTCCTTTCTGCTCCTTCTCTTCCTGTATGTGAGGTTCTATTGCTTTTGGAAGCCCTTATCCCCTTGGATCTGGCACATATGCGTTCTTTTCATGGATGTTTCATGACCAATGAAATCTTGCTTGGTATCCCTTGGGCTTCCTAATTACCCTTCCTCTTTTCCTTACAGAGGAGATTCCTTGGTGGTTAAACAAGGACAATATGATGCCTGTTCCGAATTTGCTTCTGTTTACATATGCTTCTCTCCAGAGTTGGGGGGCATGGGTCATTCAGTGGAAGGCTTCTGGACAATGGTCTCAGATTGAAAAGTCATATCACATCAATATCAATTCGGGGTGCTTTGGATTGTTTTCTTCCTTTTGTACAGAACCGACTCATCATGATCCACTAAGACAATTACACAATTGTAATCTATATTAATCACCATGTTGGCTCCTGTTCTCATTCCCTTTGTGGTCAAACCTTAGAATAGCTTTATTGGGCCTACACACTATGGATGTCTTGTTGCATGTCATGTTTTGGGCACTTTCATCATCTTGGCTGATGATCTTTCACAGCCCGATCAGGTTTATCCCATGGAATGGTCCCTCAACCCTCAGGTTTTCTGGTGGTTCACAGTTGGTGGGGTACTCCTCATCTGGATGCCTTTTCCACTTTCCTCAACACTAAGTTACATCTTTTTTTTTTTCTTTGGTTCCTCATCCTCAGGCTGTGGCAATGAATGCTCATTCAGGACTGGACCAGCTGGTACCTTTATGTCTACCCTCCTACATGACTCCTTCCCCATATTAGGTCTTTCTGATTGATCCTTACTGGCCAGTGCAACCTTGATTTTCTCACCTTCTCCAGCTACAAACCACCCCAATATCTTTTCATCTCACTCCATCCCTCCTTCAACTTTGGTCAACAGGCCTTCATCTTGCCCTTTACACTGTTTGACTTCATGCATGACATTAATCCAGTCCTTTGCAAGGAGATCCGGATTATTGGTGTGTGTCGCTTCCTTTTTAGCATGGACTGTTCACCCTTTCTCCCTTGCAGTTTATCAATGTAAGTGGAATATCTTCCACCATTGGTCTTGGAGTCAGGGATTTTCCCCTTCTTGGCTCACTGCTTTTCTTTTTTTACAAATTTCATCATCTGGCTGTTCAGTTGTATGTCTTTTTTCTCTTCCATTGCTTGTTATCGAGTAGCTTTATACTAAACCTTCCATTTTTCCAGGTACCATGGTGTTTCCCTCTCCTACTGTCTCTTTTTTATTGCATTCCTTCTGGACTTGTTGACCTCCTTTTTGGATATTTCTTCTGAATTGGAATGTCAATATTGGTCTTCACTGCCTTTACACTTCCTCTGTTGGAACCTTTGTCCTCATGTTCCTTGTATCACCTATCCCTTGAGATTTATTTTGACTCAATTTAGCCTATGGTTATCATTGGCCTGATATATTTGCCATTGATGTTTCACATACTCTGTTCCATTCTACATATGTTCTCCTTTATCTGAATCAATCTTTCCTACCTCAAACTTGATGTTTTGTGATTCAGATTCTTCCTTCTCGCCAATTGCCATTCACTCTATTTCCCACCTTTGTTCCCTATCTGATCCAGATAGGCCTCATATGCCCTTCTTTGTTACATCATTCACATGGCTTTCTTCTGTGGTTCTCTTTCCCACATTTTTATCCCCTGGCTAATTTCTTCTTTACATGACCTTTCTTTTTCTACCCTTACAGGTGGGGTTCATCAACTCATTAGACTGGTGTATTCGTCCTTGTCACTTTCATCCAGCAATCTGTTCCAGGTGTTATTGCTTCAGATCGGCCACCTTATATTTTCCCTGGCGTCTCACCTCCATCGACCATGGGAGGAAATTTTTCAGTTTGGCATGTGGACTATTCCTCATATGTTCATCTCCAAGTACTTGCATCGGATGGCTGTTTCTTTCTCATCGGGGTACTGCCTATCATCATCCTTAAAACCTCAGTGCAACTGTGACTTGATAAGTGATCTTTTCAGAATCATATTTTTCATTCCAGTGGTATGCCCCTTTTATGTCTAGGATCCCACTTGCTGGCAAGCATTGCCTGTCCAAATATGCTTACTATCTCAATTCTGTGATGTATGGCCAACAATAAGTCATACTGGGATATATTATCTCCCTCTAGTGGTCCAGCTCTATGTGTTTTGGGCCCTAGTAAAAGATGATGTTACATGGGGTAGCTTGGTGAGAGTTGTATGGGACATCCCACCAAAGTTGTCTCTGGGCAGTGACTGATCCCAACAACTTTGATGCATACCTATGGCAAAGTTGAGATATATTTCTGATAGGTACTTACCTCTTCTTCCACTTCCCACCTATTTAAAACTGATGCTTACTTTCTGCTTAATCTTAGTGTTAATTTGGTAGAATCGAATAGTGGGAGTTGCGTGCGTCAAGAAGACGTGTTGTACTCTTGTTGGTGCAACTCCTGTGACATTTGAAAAACTTTGCGAGAATAGCTCTAAGTGTGAGAGAGGTAAGTACATGTCAGTAATATATTTTCAGTGTAAGAAAACAATAACTTTCAAGTGAACTTGTAATTAACATGCTATTTTATATGCACTTTAAGAATTTGTGGAATGCACTTGGATGAGTACAAAATGTTGATACATGTGTGAATGACTTTTTTGTTCTGCTTTTTTTAGGTGGTTCTGTGATGATGATGATGATGGCCGTGACGTTTGCAAATATTTTGTATAGATTGTCTCTTTTATTTGAAGAAATATTTCATCTTGATTCTAGACACAAAAAAAGTTTTCGAATTATGATCCAGTTTGTTTTTAGTGTAAATGAATATACTGACAAGATCCTAATGTTTAATTTTGTCCTGGTAAGTACTGTATTATGGATATATTTGATAAATAATTTTAAACTACAAAGTGAACAAAAATGTAGTGGAATTCTTGCATTCTGCTATAAGCTCTTAGTGTATTATATTAAACATGAATTTAAATGTGGGGTGATTCTGAAATATGACCTTCTTTGACAATTTTAAGGCTTTAAATGTTTTTAGAGATGATTATTACATTCTTAATTGTTTTATGGTTCTATTCAACTGAAGAAACTGCACAAAATTTAATTGTGAACATAATTGCTTTGGTAATTCCTTGTGTGATTTTCAAATTGTAATGAAGATCAGATTAAATAGCTTATAGACAATTTCTAGACTGATTTAATTAGGAATTTTTTTCTGTTAATATAATGTAACATTGTACCTTATCTAAGATTTGTTTTCATAAGTATATGATCAGAAACCTTGGGATTGATGTAATGAAGATGAAAGAGAGTTTGTTGGCTACCAAATGACAGATACCACAAATTATTCCCTGAACTTTAAGATATGGGTGCATTATAAGAGTGACAATCAATCTCCTTATTGTGGGTGGTAGGGTGCTGATCACTTGCTGCTTTTCTTATGATCAGTAGTTAGAAATTAGGGATAGTGGCTTTGACATAAATACATAATTTCTAATTCAAAATAATAAAAGAGTGTTTGAATAGTTGTTTTCTAATTTGTTACAATAATAACCATTTCATGCTCAAATCAATATAAAACAACCAAAAATAGGACATTCTCATATCACATTAGTTAAAAATATTCAAGTTGATCTGACATTTTTTTTTGAAAACCCAGATTTTCCATCATCAAAGGTATCAGTAATGTGAATTAAGATGGACATAAAGCAGCATCTGTGACATCAAGGTCATAAAATATTAAGCAATAATACTTCAGTGAAAAAATCTCTCATTCATAATGGATTTAATTCTGATTTTGTATTATTTAATGTTTCTTTAGATTTACTCTTATTCAGAGATCGAAATATTGCATTATTGAGGAATTTAGCTTTGCTTGAGGAATTTCATCTTTTAAGTTGGCTTTCCCGATTGGGAATGCATTGTCTATCTGTTTTCCTTTAGTTATGACCAATGAAAGTTATTTGAATTGCATCATAACATGTTTCCAGAGTCTATTTCTGTTAATAATATGCCCATAAAAGATTCTTACAAGCTATCTAATATTTATCCCCAATCGATATGATGGACTACAATGGTGCCCTTACCAAAACACCCCATGTAAACAATCCACATGGGGATAAAAATAAAAACCATGCATAAAACTAAATTATATTAGACGATAATTTACCAATTTATAACAAAACAAAAACAAGTTAATTGTGTTTGTTTTTTAATTTATGAATGCTAAATCCAAGAAAAATTGATTTCATGTTTTCTGTAATTTAGCCCAATTTCTGTTTCTTGATGTCATGATATAAAAGACTGTTTAGTTTAGGTATAATTGATTAATATATTTTTTGAGTGAATATTTTCCTTGTTATTTAGTTTTTGTTATAATAACAGTTAAAAGCAGATAATTGTAGGAAGTTGTGTTTATAATTCATTGATGTTCAGACTGTCGAATGTCGCATGCAATACATTGATATGGAGGATATAGAGATTTCTAGAATGTGGGCAGAGGATTAATTTATAAATATATATAAATAGTGTGAGACAAGTGGAAACAGTAGACAGATAACAGCAAAAGAGAGTAAAGTTATGGGAAAGGAAAAGTTTGGCACAAAGTTACCTGCCATAAAAGTGATAGGCCTAATGTTTAATATATTAGAGTAAGACTAAAGTTAAGTAGAAAAGAATATAAGAATAATAATTTATTCTGTCAAAGCGTGGTTCTAAAGTAATTTAATCAGCCTTAGTGCACTTTGACAAAAGGAACAGACTATATCTTTAAGAAAGAAGACCAATTGATTAGGTAACTCGCACCACAATTGTAAGTGAATCACACACACACAATACTAGCGTGATAGTAATGGAGAAGATTGTTAGGCTTGTCAACTGAAATTCTAAAGTAATTGAATAGGTGTAAGTGGACTTTTGACAAGAAGAGAACTATATATATATATATATATAGTTGTTTATGATATGCCTGTAACCTTTATAGTGTGAAGAATTTGTTGTACATATGCTTAACTTGTTCCGAATATATATATATATATATATATTTATACTATTAAGAAATATAAGTAAAAGCCTTTTATTTTGAAAATTGGCTAAAATATTATATTTTAAATTCTGACACCTGAAAATTCCCAAAGATGGTGCTGAATTCAAATATGATTCATCAATCGGCACTACACAGTACCATCTAGTAATGGCACTATATAACCACTCTTAATAATTATTCAATCGAAAGTAATCAAGAAAATGTTCCTATGCAGATAGCATTGGAAATAATTTAGGCCTGACCTTGAAGATACAACCTTGATAAAGTTGATGAAAATCAATAAGCTTTTGCTGACTCGGATTGCATCAGGCTGAATGGATCTGCTAAAATTGAAGTGGTGTGTCATATTTACCTGGATAGCAGGAAACCAGTCACGTATGCTTAATTAGCTTACATAGATAAGGACAGTGAATCCATTTTGCCTGATTTTTAAAGCATTTTTGTATGCCTAGATCTGATTTTTAATACATGTTTTGAGGAAAAATATGCGTGGATACACAGTAAGCATCCTTATCTAGAGCTCTTAGACTGGAATAAAGAATCTTGTGTATTATTAAAAAAAATTTGTAAGAAAACTTCGTGTGTGAAAAACAATTGTTTCATTTACATCTTGAACCTGTTTGTTTTGTTTTACCATGTCATTAGATATGTACAGAAAGAATTATTTTGGATTAAATGTTTAAAAAATGTATAAATAAATCTTCTGTTTTGGAATGTAAGTTTAACAAAACTGGTAAAATGAAAATCAGAAGATGTTATAGATAACTCTCTTGAAAAATTAGATTTATCTAATTCTTTATACAGAAGTTATCTGGAATTGAAATATTGGAGAGAGAGAGATAGAGAAACTTTTTTGTAATTTGGCTTAAATTTCTGTTTGTGCGTAAAGAAATTGTTAGTGATACTGTACCTTGTATACAAAACGTGAAGCATATAGAATAACATAAAATATGTGCTGTAATTATGAAATTATAGTTAACTATAAATTCTCTTGAAAATCTGTATCTTGTTATTGATAAAACTGACAGTCAGCTAAATTGATTTTGAACAAAAAAAGAATACCAAAAAAAGGGGTATTTACTTAATGATGGATCACATTGAAATTTATAAAAGATCCAAAGGAATTTAAAATGAAAAACATACAAAAAATGATACAAAGAAGATACATTTTATTCTTTTGATTATTAATGCATCTAGATTTTATGCTCATCTATAATGCATAAACATAGTCTACCTTTATGACTGATTGTTGCTGATATTGATGGATCTATATATATAACCTTGCAGAATATTTAGTGAAATGACTATCAAATTCAGTAAAATTAAATTATTTTACATCTAACAATTTCAGTGACGTTGTTCTTTATATAGAAGGTTTAGTTTAAAAAATAAAAATCATGGTTTCTTTCATCTCACATAAGTATTTACAGATGTACTTGTAGAAAATTCTCTTACAGTTTTTGAGAAAACATTTGCTGGAATTTGAAGTGAATGAAATGGAAACTTGAGAAATATATAATTAAACAAAAGAGTAGTATCCCCTTTTCTCAAATTAAATTGAATTTTTGAACAGTATATGATACTTTTATACACTATATATATAATTGAGAGTTAAACAATTTCATTCATACTTAAACAGTTGAAATCTAAGTACTCAATTTACATTTAAGATGTATAATCAGTTACCATTTCTTCATGGTAATCTTAAAACTGAAGTTTACAGAAAACCAAACAGTATATGCATGTTTTCAACATTTTGAATGTGTTTGTGTGTGATTTATCATCCCAAAGTTTTTGATAAGATCTGCACATTACTTAAGGGATGAAAGTAGCATTAAAGTCTAGGATTAAACTATGATAAATTTTGTAGAGGAAAATATGAAGAACAGCATTTCTAGAAAATCGGGAACTTGTGTAATATATTTGTAATTTTGGTAAACTTTAAGTTGGGTAGATAAAGGGGAGGATTGATAAATTTACTGTTACTTATCATATAAACATAAAAGGTCATAGTGTTAATTTAGCTGATGCTAAAATTATTGCATGGCCAAAGAAACTACAAGCAAGAAATTTATGTTGAATTTACAGAAATATTAAAAAGCAAAAAAACTGATTATAAGTTAAGGTGAGGACCAGGACTAAATCTGATATAGATTGTTTTACATTAATTTTAATTTAATAGAGAAATGATACGAGGCCCCCATAGTAAGTGTATTTATGCTTAAGCATGTGGCATTTAGTGCTTATTTTGGCAGACTGTGAAAATTTGAAAGCTATTAAGTGTAATTAAATATTGGAGAAAGTCTAATAGAAATAGCTAGTATTTGATGTAATTGACAAGAGAAATTTCTAGCAAGAACACTGCACATTATTAAGGTACCTTGTTAAGGAGGAACAACAAAGCAAGATGAAAGATTTATTGATAACATTTAATTATGATTGGAACAAAATGTGTATTTATATGTATGTATATATATATATATATATGTGCGTGTGTGTTGAGTTGATAGGTAGTGTAAATTTGTAATGACCTATTTTTAAAATCATTAAAAGAATATCAAGGTACATTATAAAATATATTGGGATTAAAAATATAATTTTGCTTCATGTTTTACAAGAAAACTTTGCAAAATTTTAACCATAACAGATTTATTTTTTAATTTGATTGTTTCATTGGTCTATGTTTAATGGTTCAAATAAGATGTGCTAAGAAATTTTGTATATTGTAACTACTTTACATATTTGATATTGGGGTAACTTCTTTATCATCACTTAATTTAACAGGTGACTACATTTAATAAGTAATCTCACCTATTATGTTTCTTACAGTTCTTCCTGTTACTGATTTTCAATCAAGATGTTTGTTCTTCATTGTGGGTAAAACATAGAAACAGCTGTTTTGGTATTGTAATAGTCCTGCCTGTCATCTTTCATTTTAGGGTAAGTATGTTTTTTTTCAAGGTTGCAGATGGTTTTTGCTTTGTATTATAGTGAAAACTTCTAGTCATTGTGTTTACTGCAATATTCACTGTTTGGGGAAATGGAGATAATATATGTATACTTTTTGAAAATTAATCAATGAAACAACAGTTTTATTTCAGTAACATGTACAAGTTATTTATATAGACACACAACTGTGTGTGTTTTAGTTGTGTGATATCTACTAAAGCTGCAAGTTGGCTCAAGATCACGATACATTCATATTACAAAAATATAGTAATTATTAATAACCCTATAGTTTTAAAATGCACTATTCTTATAGAAATCATACATAGTTTTTCACTGTTATTAAAAAAACAGTAGCATTAAATGTTGAGTATGTACATTTAAAAAAGACAAAAAGAAAGACTATTATAATCTTTTACAAGGCTTGGTTGGGGCTGGCCCTGTGGGAGAGCTCTAGGTTTCAGAGTTGGTAAAGTGGGTTTCAATCTGTGTGCAAAGCCGCATACTATTCCCTGCACTTTAACCCTTTCCATATGGGTCAAAGGCCATGTCATTGCATTTGTTGACTCGCATTAAAAATTTTATGGAACTACTTTTCATGAAATTATGTCAGTAATTTTGGTATCAAACTATAGAACATAGTCCAAATTTTAGTATTATACATTACTCAATTTCTTAATTTAAAAGTAAATATTAAAAACACACACTTAAACAGCTTTTTGTGTGTCACGTGGAATGTTGAATGCAGCACTGGTTCAGATTAGATGTTTGTG